TGCTGCCTTCTCATTAAGATTTAATTTATTGCTGACTATTCCTGTGGCTGATTCTCATGCATAGGAGGTGGTTTTCCCCTCTCTGGTGTGTGGCAGGGATCTGGGCGTCTGTGTTTGTACCGGCTGGGCTTTGGCAGCGAGGGGCTGTTGCTGCTCCTGCATCAGGAGCCCCTGACCTTAAATTCCCCGAGGACTGAAACGCCTATTCTGTAGCAGGCAGATCTCATGAGCTGGGGAAAAAAAGCAATGCCTAATCTTAGGGGAGGACTCTCGACTTGTGCATTTCATCCTACACCTAGCGCGGACGGACAGATCACTCCTGCCTGCTCACATCGCTCTGTAGGGGCTCAAGGCTGAGTAAAAAGCTGCCTCAAATCCTTAGGAGGTTTCCTCAAAAATCTAACAGAAGCGGAAACCTAATTCTAGCTTTGTGTGGTCTATGGCTATCTCTTCCTCTCCCTCACCAGACTGTGGCTGGGGCAGAGCACAGCCGGCTGTGAGTACGGCGTTCCTGTAAATGCAAGAACCAGGGCTGTTAGCTGTCTTAAAGATTTTTTTTTTTTTTTCCCTACAACCATGGCTTTTCAGTTTCTGAGCTCCACAGGGATGAATTTCTGTTTCCAGCCCTCGCAGTGACTGGGGCTTCCCTCCTCCCTGCATCCTGAGGCTGCTGCTGGGGACTCGTCATCTCCCAAGCGTTATTAGCATGCCCAGGGCATGGGATGCGGTTGCCATGGCAATGGGATGATTTCGACTGGCAGCACCAGCAGATAGTACGGGAGCTCCTGGGCCGTGGCTGAGCTGTAAATGCAGCTCTGGCTGGCGGTGCACGCAACTTAAAAATTGCTTTTGCCCTTCACGGGAGCCGTATGTGTCTCACGGTGGCTTTTCTGCCAGCCCAGGGTCTGCACGCAGCCTTCCCGCTCCGTGCCCTTCAGGGGCTGGGGCTGCTAAAATTGGGGATCTCTGTAAAAGCTGCTGCTGAGCAGCAGGAGAAATCCTCTGGGTTTGCAGAGAGCCCAGGCAGTGGTGATGGCACTTGGCTCTCCTTGCAGGACCAGCACAGAGCTCTCTTCCCGTCCTCACAGCAGATCTGGAGCTGGTCTGCATAGCCTGTTGCCTTCCACAAATGGGGAATTAGGGATCTGGGAGGACATTTGGGGTTTGAGCTGTCTGTACTTGAAAGGTGGCTTTGTTTTCTTTGACCTTGGTATGAGTCAGGTGCTGGTTTCCAAGAAGCTCAGGAAAGGGCTCCAGGATGTGAGCGGTAACTCGGGTAAAGCAAGAGGCAGGTCTCAAAACTGTCATCTCGTGCCCCTGTAAGCTGAGGCAGTGCACTTGCTGGGTTAGCACGACTGCTAATTAAACCCCAGGTGCCTAATGGCACCCGCGTTTGGACAAACCAAAAGCCCATCTCCTGCTGATGGTGTTTGCTCCTGACTCTGCCCAGCAGGTACCAGCCTCCCCATAGCCATAACCCGTGCTGCCCCTTCAGAGGGGAAAGGGGGGGGTCCCCGGGAGCGGCTGAGTTGCATCACCCCTTGAGCCCTCGCTGTTAAATGCAAACTCCTTTGACGTGCTGCCTTGGATGCCGGAGCTTGTTGGCTACTAAAAAGGGGGTTTGTTACCCTTGCAATGACAAAAGGGCCCGCTTCCCTCCATGCTGTCTCTTCAAGGTATGAATGCATTAACCCAGTGACTAGTGCGATGGCAGCAGCTTTTACAGCAGCGACCTTTGCTAACCAGAGGCCAAACTGAGCTGGGGCAATTTAGACAGAGCTCCCCCCTTGCCACCCCACTCCCCCACCCCGGGGCCGTTCATCTCCCCAGGCAGCAGCTGGGCTGGATTTGGACCCGGGGTGGATTTGTTCCCAAGGTGTCTTAATGCTGTTTTGCTGCTTCTGAAATGCCCCTCGGGGTGCAGCTCCGCAGTGGTGGTGGCGGCCGAGCCTTTGCTGACGTGTCCCGCGGAGCCAAGTCAGGGGGGCCCCCCACCCAGACACCCCCACTCCAGTGGCACCCACTGCCGGGAGGGCAGGAACTGGGGCCAAAATGGCAAGAGGACTTAAATATGCAGCAACAAACCCATGCCCAGTTCTGCAGCCTGGTGTCTGTTGCTCCTGGTGAGTGCAGGACCCTCCTGGAGAATCAGATTTTGTCATTATTGGAGTCTTAATGCAGGAATTTCTCAGCAGCAAGCCGCAGGCAGTGGCTTGGTGAAATATCTGCCTTGATATTGTATCCCGGTGTGAAGCCTTGACATACCAGTGCCCGAAGGTAGTGGGGAAGGGAGCCTAAACACACAGTATTATATCCCCTCTAATCAGATTAATTTAAACAGAGATTAAACTATATCCTTCAAGCAGTCGGTGATCTGTGTGTCTAAAACCAATTCTTGTTCTTTTTGGTCTTCTTGCTGGATGTTTGGGGGGGCTACAGTGGGCTAATTTAGGCTTATTTGGTATGGGTATGGCTGCGTCCTCGGTGCATCCCCATGTGCTGGTGGGGGCTGGATGGGGTCTTGGGGGGGGGGGTTGCCCTCAGGTGGGTGAAATCTTGCCTATCCCTCCGGGTCCCCAGTCTTGGCTCCCAGCTCCCCTGAAGCAGCAGGCAGCTGGGGGGGGGAAAGGTGGGACATGGCAGCTGGTGACGTCCAACAGGACAAGACCTGGAACAGGGAAGGGGTGGTGTATTTTGGGGGGGGAGCAGGCAGCGAGCGGCTGCTTGCTGAGTTGTCTTTTCCCCTTTCTGCAAACCACATCTGCATCGTTTGGTTTCTGTGTGTGTGTGGGGGGGTGTTCTCTATTTTTTTTTTTTTTTCAGTGGGGCTGAGGCAGCTATTTTTATTCTTGAGTTTCCTGCATTGCTGCTTTACCAAGGTATGTGCTGCTCTTGCAGGTCTGTGGTTGCTGGTCTGTTGCTGTCCTGTTCCACCAGCACCGCTCTAAGGCAACGGCTTTCAACCAGCCCCTTCCACATGCAGCTGGGTTTCTGCTCACTTATTCTCACTTGGCCACATTTTGATTAGCCTTAGGCAGAGGTGCTAATGTTGATTCTGTAAATAGATAATTGCTGATGTTGGGGCACACAAGCTCCCAAAGCAGAGCCCAGGGGCTTCTTAAGACCCATTTCATGTGGTCTGGGAAGGGACAGGAGCTGCAGCTATCCCATAGTTTGCTGCGTAGCCCTGGGGTGAGAGCTTGGTTCAGCCACCGGTTGGGCTGCACAGATGGAGGTGTGGGAGCTGGAGGCTGCCCAGTCTGAGTTTCAGCCCTGAAATGGGGATCAGCATTGTCCTCAAAGCCTTCAGGTCCCCAGGAGCAAGGGAGACCACCCAGCTGGTGTCTGCGAGGAGCTGCACTCTGTTTTCAGCAGACTGCTTACCCCTGGTCACCTCTATCAAGAGCTGCTGCAGTGAGAGAACAGTCAGGTTGCCCAGCTTTGGGAGAGAATTCACCCAAGTTCTTGCATGTGTTTGAAAGTAAAACTGAGCTGCAGCGTGACGTGCTGCCCTGATGCCACGTGTGTTCAGCATGAACCAAGGATGGGGCTGTGTCTCGGCCTCCCACCCGCTCTCCCACACTGGCCAATAACTTTCCCAAAATCCTGCGATCTGTCCTGCCACCCAGTTCAGGATTCCAGCTTTAGTTCTTGTGACAGAAACCTCTGACCCTTTCAAAAGGCAGTTCCCCCCCCTGCCCCCTTGCTCCCTATCTGCACTATAACCCTGAATTGCTGCTGTGGGATGTCTTTGGTTTCTTTGCCATCCCGTGGGAGCAGTTGCCATCTGTTCAGTGCCAGATTTCCTCCCTGGGCTTTTCCTGGGGAGCAGAGGGCTTTGCCTCCTGAGCAGCCTGGAAACGTTCCTCTTGCAAACTTTTTCTTCCACCCCACGTGTCGTGCTCCAGATGCAGCAAGGGTGGCTGCCCGGAGCGGATCGGGCCCTGGGGTGCAGGACCAGGATGGTAAAGCCTGTTGGTGCTGGGACTGACCCTGCCGCTTCTTGGCAGCGTGAGCGACTCGATCACTAACTGCCACTGTGGTCTGACCGAGCCGAGCTGGAGGTGTTTGCACACTTGAACATACCTTGTTAGGGCAACGATTTACTTCTTGCTATTTTCTGTGTCTCCTGGAGGTGGGAACAGCTGCATGAAGTTCATCCGTCTGCTTGGATGGGGCTTGTAGCAGCCTTCAGCTTTAGGATTAGATATTTACTTTCTCCCACTACCTGAGTTTTTAATTGTTAATTCACGTTGTCTATAGCAAAGGCTGCATGCACTTTCAGTAGCTGCTGTGTGGCACTTCAGAACAATAGTATGGCTTGTAGCCAGTCCACGACGGAGGTCTCCTGCTTTACACTCCCATTCCAGGCATGTCCTAAGGATTCACTCAACATGTTGAGCTGGTGCAGATGAGTAGCACGGCCTGTGCCCCAAGACGGGCACGGTTATGCTGACATGATTTATGCCAGGGTTGTGATATTCTGCAGTACCAGGAAGCCATAACATGAGGCTGGTGTGGCTGAAGCTGTGGTAAAATAAGCAAGTAAAATCACCTTGATCCCTTCTGACCTTTGACAACTGAAACAGTGAAAGGGGCAAAGTCACTGTAAACCAGAGCGTTAGTAGTGTTTACTTGCACTAATGTTACCCTGAGGACTGTTTAAACATTGAAGATGTGTTAAGGTCTCTCCAGAAATCAGACGGGCACAAACCTGGAATGGCTTTGTCCGCTGGGAAAAAAACCCTTCCCTTCCCATCTTTTGATAAGACTGAAGTTAATATATTGAGATCGGGGGATGGACGTTTCTCACTGGGTTACCTGCTGGGGAAGGGGTCGGGCACAGCGAGAAATCCCGTCGTCCCGAATGGCTCCCACTAAACTGGGGGGCTGTGGAGTGGGGCCAGAGCGCTGGGATCCCCTGGGGGCTGCGGGTGGGTGGGAAAGGGCAGCGGCGGCTTGCAGGAGTGCCGGGACTGACCATCCCCTTCTCTCGGCAGACACTACCCGAAGCAGTCCTTCACCATGGTGGCAGACACCCCCGAGAACCTGCGTCTAAAGCAGCAGAGCGAGCTTCAGAGCCAGGTGAGCGCGCGGGTCTCTCCTCGCCCGGGGCCGCCGTGCTCTGCCCCATCGCCCCACGTCGTTCCCCCGTGCTCTGGTTCTGCCCCACACCCTCGCCCAGAGGAGGGGGAGGCCGGTTTGGGGGGGTGGGTCCCTTCTCGGGGGTCTCGCCCGTCTCAGCTGTGTTTGTTGGTCCCTTCATCCATGGTTCCTGGGACCTCCAGGAGGTGGGAAGGGTCCAGCAGACAGTCTGCCTCTCCCAGTCCATGCCTTGCACCAGTTTACCTTTTCCCAGCCGCTGTCCAGCCACACAATCAGGTGAAATGGTAAATGGCTTCATCTGGACAGGTATTAACTCTCTAGACGAGTATTTCAGGTAAACCCAAACCGTGTAGGGCTTGAGAGCTCTGGCAAGCAGAAATAAACAGATAGAAGGGATAACGGCTGGCACAGATAAGGATTTCTTTCTTTAGTGGGAAGAGAAGAGCCTGTTTGAGAAGGGTGTTGTCCAGACACGTCCCATTTTAGACCCTGAAGGCGTCCCTGGATCAGCAAAAGTCCCCAGCCTTGACGCCGGGCCGTGGGCTGGGTTCTCACACCAGTAACTCCTGACGCTGCAGTGGGAACTGCTTGGCTCTTGGTCCCTCGGGCGGGCCAGGGAGCAAGCCCTGCTTTCCTTCTCTTGCTCTGAGATACTGAGAACAGAAACGTGGGCATTGATTTTGCAGAGGAGCAGCTGGAAGGGCAAGGTTGGCCCAGAAACGGGACAGCTTGGGCGGGTGACCCTCCTTCGTGGGATTTTGCTGAGGGGCTGTGATGAAGCATCTGAGACGATGCCCTGAACCGTTGTCGTGAGCTTTGATATCGCCGAACTGCAGACGTGTGCTCAGAGTATGCTGTGCTGGAAGAAAATGCATCCAGCGGCAATTTTGGCTTGAGTCAGCGTCTCGCAGGAGAACACAGGATGTGGCAACTGTTCTGGGAATCTATTTAATTTCGTTTTCCCTTTGAAAAGGGGGCAGAAAGGCTGCCCGGAGTGTTGTCAGCAAGGCACGTTGGCTCAGCTCAGCGTTGTAACAGTGTTGGTCCTGGGCAGAGGGAGGACAGCACGGGATTTGGTGTAGTATTTTCAGGGTGAGCAGTCATTTTTCGGGATCAATGCACTCCTCTCCCTGCTGTGCTGTGAAGGATGCGGTGACCTTCCTTCTCTTCCCATTAGCCTGAGTGTCAGGAGCTGAAAAGCAGATTGCCTGGGGATGCATCCAGCTGGAGGAGGAGGAGGGGAAACCTCAGGACCTCACCTGTTAGAGCTGGTGGTGCTTGTGCAGCCAGCATCGAGTTTTGAAACCTCTGCTTTTTTGTAAGGTCTCTTCCTCGGAGCAAGTTGCCTGACAGCCTCCCTGGCTTGCACAAGTGCAGCTTGGCTCTGGCTTAGAGCTAAAGCTCAGCCTGGGGCTGGCTTTGTGCTTCATGGAGCGATTAAGGGGGGGACACAGTTGCTTTTCCATGGTAACAATCGAGCTCATGCTGCACCGAGGGGTCTGGAGTCTCCAGCACTGTTTTTACAATGAATTCAGGCTCTTCATTAGTTGTTGCTTATTAAAGGAGACCTCGGGGAAGGAGTGTGTGCTGCCTGGGCTTTTCTGTGGCTGGTTAGGACTTTGAGCTCCCTGTGGTGTGCGGGAGGTTGGCTGGAGGCAAAGCCAGCGACCTTGCAGGGGAGGGGGTGTCTCTGCTTTCGAGCCTGCACCTCCAGAAGTTGGTGACTACAACTCACACGCCAGCAGGAATGGCTGTCCCTGGGAGAGAAGCAGCCCTGCCACGTCCCGGTGGACTCCCCGGCTTTGGGGGCTGGAGCTGGGGCAGCGCAGGGCTGGAAGAGGCTTCTGCACGCTCTTGGTTGCGTGTCAGAAGAGGGGCTGGGGTGCAGGCAGAGTCCTCCAGTTTGCCAGACACCCCGCGTTTTCAGTGCTGGTTTCACGCCGGGACGGGCTGCAAAGTGGGAGTGGGAGGGAGTGGAGGGTGCTGGGGTTTGGGTGCTGGCAGAGCCCCTGCGAAGAGATGCTGGGGAGGGAGGCGGGAGCGGTGGGAGGGAGATGGCGAAGCTGAACCAGGTGGAAACTGCCCGTCTGAATCGCCCAGAGCCCTGGAGAGGATAGATCCTAAACACACTTCAGATAAGATCTTAATTTCTCTCTGCCTTTGTTCTGCCTACAAAGGGAGTCTCCTATTTTCCAAGCGCCAAACATTTGTATTTCTTCAAGCACTCCAGCTAAAACACTAGCAGCCGCTCTGGTTTATTGACGATCCCTTCTCACTAATTGCAGGAGCTGAGCAAACCCCTGGGGATGGAAATAGGTCACTTCAGCCCTTCCAGAGCAGGCAGCAGGGTTCAGGGTCTTGCAAATTAACTGGATGAACTGGAGCTGAGACAGGGAAAGGCTTGTGGAGAAGGGCTGGCTGGCTCGGCTCTGGCAGGAGGGCTTCTGCACCACTGTTTGCCAGGTCAAGTGCCACCTAAAAAGCGCATCCTGGCTAACACTGCTGGGACAGGCAGGGCTCTTGCACATGGGTCTGGTAGTAAAATCCCCTTGTGGAGTAAGACCAGGGTTATGCGAACAGTCACATCTTGCCTTCAAGCTTGGACTTGCCAGCCAAACTCAGCTGTGGCCAAGCCTTTGGTCCTGGAGGCGAAGCTTCCCCGAGAGTGTGTCCGTCCGGAGGAGCTGTGGCTGGGAGCTGGGGGGGGAGAAGGGAGATCGCAGGGTCCGTGTCCTCTGCAAAGGATTTCTAACTGGTGGAGGATCAGTCCCTGGCCACGGGGGTGATGCTCCCCAGCAGTTTTGCCCATTCCTCTGCAGCAGAGCTGCTGTGGGGCTGGAGAACTACTGTCCTTGTGGGTGACCCTGAGGAGGCTGATCCTGTATTTCCTCCCACCAAAAATACACTGTTTGTCCACCCTGGTGTGACTGGAAAAGCCGGTGGTTCGCAGGAGGGTGGGGATGGGGCAGATGCGTGCCGAGCTGGAGCGGTTTCATGTCTCTCCCGATGCCTCCGCTATTTGTGTCTGCTGAGAAGGCGTCTCCTGTTCCGGTCACTGGTAGGTGCTGGATAATGATGTCTTGTGCAGCTAAACGAGTCTCCCAAGTGACAGTTTTTACGCCTGCAGCCGCCTCTTACAGCCCACGTGCGGCAAGAAAATTGCAGGTTCCTGTCCTGTGGCTCCCCTTTCAGACTCTTAAATCCGGCAGTTTTGGGCACAGCCCTTCCTGCCCGAGGGTGGGGGGTGTGGGAGGCAGGTACCCATCTCCTGCCCCTCCTGCTGCTCTGGCACCTCGGGGGGGGCTGCTCTCGGCGACACCGGGGATGGGGATGCGAGCAGGGCTTAACGTGCTTGAGCCGAGAGCTGCGAGGGGTTGGGATGGGTGCCGAGCTGTTCTCCAGCTCCCTTCGGGTAACGCACGGGTGCACGAGTTGTCATGGCAGGAGGGATTCCTCTGGGAACATTAACTGTGGATCCTGTTTTATTACGATGGGGTGAGGTGTGGATACGGCGCTGTCTGCATCGCTCAGCTCTTTAATGCAGCATACAGGTGAAATGCAGCTGCGAGCCCGAGCGACAGGAGTGGGTATGTGGGTTGGCAGCTGGGGCAGGAGCGATGGGTCTTTACGGCCCCTTGCAGAGCGCTGAGCTGGTTCCCAGCAACACTCACGTGCCCTGGGAAAGCGCAGCGGGATGTACCGAACCGCGCGTTTCTGTCCCTCTTTGTCACCTGGGGTCACCCACGCTCCGGTTTCCGAGGGATCGAAGGGAGCAGGGCCCTGGGAGCGTGGCTGGAGCAAAGGATTCGTGCCTCTCCAAGGGCAGCCTGTGCTGGGAGGGGGATTTCCCCCGTGGCTGGGGGTCACGGGTCACCTCTCACCCCGGCTCAGCGCTGCTGCCAGACTCCTGCCTGCGCAACCCGGAGCCCCATATAAGGGCAGGGAAAAGCTAAAAGGCGCCTTGTCCGAATGCTTCCTCCCTCCTTTCCAGCCTTCTCGCTCAGCCCCGGTGATGGCTGCAGCCCAGCGGGACCCGGCTGCTCCTGGGTGGGAGCCAGGAAGGGTTGTGGATCCTGTTAAATTGCGATTCCCCTGCGCAGAGCCCAGGGACGGTGTCTGCCCCGGGGCCTCCCTCGCTTCCTCCCTGATGCTCGTGCCATGCTCTGATTTCCATGGCCAGGAACCCCAGCTAGCCGGGAGCACCGGCCTCAGACACGTGTTTTGGGTTAGACCTGCCCCCAGGTACCAGCATCTTCTCCCACGACTCCAGGATCACGTCTCCCCCGCAGTCTGGCATCCCCCCCCGTGACAGTTTTTTTAGGGTGAAGTTTCTGTATCCTGAAGGTTAGAGGAGTAAAAAAAAATCTGTATCCTGAAGGTTAGAGGAGTAAAAAAATTGTGTATCCTGAAGGTTAGAGGAGTAAAAAAATTGTGTATCCTGAAGGTTAGAGGAGTAAAAAAATTCTGTATCCTGAAGGTTAGAGGAGTAAAAAAATTCTGTATCCTGAAGGTTAGAGGAGTTAAAAAACCCAAGGAAGGTGGAAGAGGTAGGATTCAGGAGGGTAAAAATACAGAACTTCTTAAAGGAACTGCTTAGCCTTGTGATTAGTTTCTCCCTCGGCGACTCTTTATCTTTCTAGCCTGGATTTCTTACGGTTTGTCAACTTGTGTGTTTGCAGCCAGCACGGGTGCCCGGTGCTCCCCTCCTCGGAGGAATAAACCCTCTTCTCCCGAGCTACATCTCCAAGCACAGCGGCGGGGCCAGCATCCCACGCCCAGGCTGCAGAGCTCTCGAGGAAAGCAGCCTTTATTGGGCGCAGAGCAGATAAAGGACGAACTCGGCCCCTCTGCCCGCCTGTCGCTGCGGGGCCGGTGCTTTGCAGGGCTGACTCACCCCCTGCTGATCCCCTCTCCGGGTGTGTGTCATCGGTTTTATGTCGCAGCTCTGTTAACCTTTGGTTCCTCGTGCCCCATGGTTAACACCTCGAGGCTGCTCCTTCCTAATTGATGATGTTCAAGATACGCTCTTTACCACAGCTAGCAAAAGGGGTTTTTTTTCCTCCCTCTTATTGTTTCAAGCAAGAGGAGACTTCTGCCTGAAAATTTGTCTCTCGTGTCCTCTGTGCTTTAGCATTTTGATTGTATTAATACCCTCCCAGGGTGGACTCTGCAGCCTGGTTCATTAAGACTTTGCTTTCTAATGTTGCATTACAGTTAGAAATCTAATGTGACTCATAGACTGTACCATCCATCCAAGGGTTTCTGTGATACCCCATGGCTGTGAGGAAGGCATAGGGGCTCTGCCATGCTTCCAAAGCTTGCGTTTCTCCTGGTTTGCAGGACAGGAAGAGGAAATGTGTTTGCAAGCGGAGCACGGGGCTCTGGGGTTTCTGCACCGCTGACCCACGCTGCCAGTGGTGTGGGGGCCGGGGCCCGTTGCAGAGCTGGGGTCTGGCATCCCTTCCTGCTCCAGACAAACCCCTCCGAGCTGTGGGTGCTGCAGCCCCTGAGACCCCCCCCACCCCCTCCCCAGCCAGGGCCGGCTGGCGTGGGGGATGCACAGAGCTGGCCTGAGCCTGCAGCCCCTCTGCGGAATGGAAACCCCGGTGTCTCATTTTCCTCTGGAAAACTCTCGTTTCCTGGGTCATTCTGGACCAGAGAGGGGGCAGGACCTGCTGCGTGCCCCCAGCCCGGGCTGGCTGCAGCACTGGGGGAGGGTCTGACCTGGGCACAGCAGCCTCGCTGGGATGCTGCCCGCTGTGCCCGGGGCTCGCGCTGGGAGAGCCCAGATGGCAGCAGAGGTGTGTCTTGGCTTCTCCAGAAGATATTATCAGATGTTTGGCAGCCCTTTCCTCCCGAAAGGTGTTTCCAGGCCCAGCTGGATGCGCTGTCTGGATGGGAGGCAAATACGTGAGGTCTGGAGGAGCGTGTGTCGGGGAGAAACGGGCTTTATTCCGCCGTGCTGCCGGCTCTCTGCCTCCGAGCTTTATCTTGGCGCGGCACGGGAGCGCGGCGCCGATCCGCGAGCAGAGCCCTCATCCTGCAAGCTCTTTGTTTGGGGGGCGGGCCCCTCTTCCCAACCATCGGGCTGGGAAGGGTTACTGGAAGCTGCCCCTGCGCTGGCCAGACTCACTGGTGTCTGGCCCCCGTGCTGGGGTGAGCCTCTCCCTGCTCGGGGAGTGACGCAGCCCCCGCTCTCCCAGCTTGCTCCATCAAAGGCGGCTCCTGCCCGCAGCCCCCCGACAGCCCGAGGGGGTGGGCATCGCCCCCCCCCCCAGTTGCACAGGACAGAGCCAGGCTGCTCTGTCTGGCCTCTGCACGGGGGCCCCGGGGTTTGATCTGCTCGCGTGACAAGCGGTGGTGACCTTCCCGTTGCGGTGACAGCACACAACTGGCCGCAGGGTGCAAGGGGAGCTGCGGGGAGGCGAATCCCCAGGGTGGGGCAGCTTCAGCTGCATGCTTGTGGGCTGCCCCTGGACAGGCTCTTTCCTCCCCAAACGGGCAGAGGCAGCTCCTGACAGCCGTCTCTGCAGGGCCAGGGCCCCACGGAGAGCGTGGTGGAGGTCGGGGTGTCTCTCTGCACATCTGCTTCCCTTCCCACCCCACCCCCAGTGCAAACGGGGCGTCATTCTGGCTGCTCTGATCTGAAAGTCAGCAACGCCGCTGTGTCGGGGCAGGCAAGGCAGCTGGGTGCTGTTTCCTTCCCCGTCGGGGCCATCAAGTCAGCGGTTGGGTTTCAGCCTCTGCAGAAGTTGCTTCTGCTTCTGGGTGACTTGGGTGGGAGCAGCGGTCCTGCGCAGAGTGGGGCCAACTGGGACCAGCAACGCCCAGAGCCGAGGCTGCCGAGGGCTGGGGAGCACATCTGGGCTGTGCGTGTGTGCTGCGTTAGCTCCCTCCTGGGAGAGCTGGAAACCCCAGTCTGAGAGCTGTGTAGTTATATTTAAAAAAAAACAAAAAAAAAACAAACAAAAAAAAAAAAAACAAACAACCAAAAAAAAATAAAAACCAAGAAAAAAACAGGACTTTTCAGCTGCTGGGTGTGATGGGAAGGGATGCTGATGTCAGTGTTTGGCAAACAGAAACGAGGATGCGCGTGTTTTGCCAGCCTCCACCCTCCACACTGGTTTCGTTACGGTCTTCTGGGTGTATTCCTTCCCAGAGGCAGCTGAACGTCCTCTGAGGTGGAAACGCTTTTGTACGGGTGTAGCTCGTAAAATCCTCGGGGCTGTCAAGCAGGCAGCTCGCCATGGGTCAGTTGCTCCGTGGTACGTGACTTGGGGGCGCGCTGGTAGCCCACGGGAAATTCAAAGTAAATCCGAGTTACCCCAGCCCCTGCTGAAAGAGAAACAAGATCAGCAGATGCGTAAGAAGTTGTTGGTGTGTTTCGGCTCTCGGCAATACCCCCTTTTGCTATTGCTGGATACACTGGGGGGGTCTCCTGAGCAAGGCAGAGGCCCTGGTAGAAGGCTGCTGCATCTCATGAAGCATGTGGGTCACGGTGAGGATCTGTTGCTGAATCCAGCTGCTGTGCACGCCAGCTTTCCCCCGTGTTTAAATCTGTTTTTTTCCTGTTTGTACCCAGATTCGCTACAAGGAGGAGTTTGAGAAGAACAAGGGAAAAGGCTTTAGCGTGGTGGCTGACACCCCGGAGCTGCAGAGAATCAAAAAGACTCAGGATCAGATCAGCAACGTGAGTAGCTTCTAATCTCCGCGTGTGATATTGCTGTGACCTTCCTCCCGCCGGAGGAGGCTGCGGGAGACTCTGCCGGGAGCGGACCCACGCTCCGACGGCTGCTAACGAGCACGCGAGGCTGCAGCGTCTTGGCAGCCTGGTTAATTCCCCGCCGTGCTTGCTCGGGCATCTTGTGACCCTCTTGCACCTCTCCCAGCTCCTCCGTGCTGGCGGAGGCCGCAGCCGGATGCCAGAGGGGTATCCGAGCCCCGAGGTGCTCAAGTCCACCTGGGCTGCGAGAAGGGGAGCGGCGGAGCTTGGCGTTTGGTGGGGGCAAACGCGGAGCAGGGCCGGTCCCGTCCGCCCCTGGTCGTCACCGTAACCCGCGGCGTGGGCGGCGTGGGCAGCCCCACGCTGCTGCTCGGGGGGCTCCAGTCCCTCCCTTTGCCTTTGTGCCTGCGTGTGGAAGCGCCGGCTGAAGGCACCCACCTCTTCCTCCTGTCCCTTCGCAGCGGCGACTGTTCCCTGCCAGGCTCCGCTTGCCTTGACCCCTCCTGACTCCCCCAAAGCCCTTCCCAGCCAGCCGGCTGGCGGGGGCCGTTTGCTGCTGCAGCTGCTGCTCTTGGCTTGTGCCGAGGCCGCACACAGTCCCCAGGGTCCCTCCGCCTGCTGTCACCAGCCCCGAGGGTGGGACAGGCGGCGTCAGCCGCTTTCCTACCTACAGCCCGTGTCTTGCAGCGGCCGCTGCGCCGGAGCAGCCTTGTGGGGAGCTCCTCAAGGTCCTTTGGCCGGGCAGAGCTTCCCTCCTGCCCTCACCCTGCCTCTGCGCTGACACAGAGGGGTTTCCAGGGGCTGCCCAGCAGCGTCTCCATCCCCGCCTTGACCTTCTGGAAGAGGAGATCCCCCCGCCCCCGTCTGCGAGAGACCCAGCTCTTCCGTTTCTGAAAATTATTATTATATTAAACCCGTGCCCAAGTCGGGTGGCAGCTGGGCTGGCAGCTTGTGCTTCACCCCGCGGGCTCCGGGTGCGGTGCGTGGCAGCCGTGGCCGCCTGCGTGCGCGTTGCCATGGCGAACGAGGGGGATGCTCCTAGAGCTGCGGCTCTGGGCTCGGGGTGCCTCTGTCCCCTGCCCAAACTCGACCCCGGGCAGCGTGGCGCAAGCATCTGCCTTCAGCAGAGCGCAGGGAGTTAATGAACCTTTAGTTGCACGCGTGTTCCTTATCAAACGCCGGGGAGCTGCTGCGAAGCCCCGGGAGAAAGCTTCTCCCTGACCATTAAACCCACCCTTGGAGCTTTGCATGAGGAACCTCTCGGGTGTCCACTCGACAGGCAGTTTCCGTGAGCTTCTCTCCTGCTCCGAGCTTGGCGGTGCCCTGAGCTGCTCTCGCTCTTCCATCCTTAAGCATCCCTTCCTCGGAGACAAAGCCCCAGCCCTGGGAGCTGCTCTCTGCTCCCCGGGGGTGTCCAGGGGAGGACGGTGCCCGAGCTCGCACACAAACAGGGGAATGCCCAGCAGCGCAGGAGGAGGTTGTTTATTCCCTCATCTGATCCCGTTGTGCAGTTCTCTGGCGAGTACTGATCTCTCCTGGGGGAGCTGCAGGACATTATCTGCGCACCAAACCCCAGGACAACAAGGGCTGGGGAAGGTTTCCCACTTGGGAAACTGTCCTGGCTGGAAGGTTTGCCCTGGAAGCAGCTTCTCGGTGGGGTCTGAGCTGGCAGGAGATGAGCACAGCTTCCCTGCCACGGAGCGGGGCTGTGGCCTTCATGTTACAGAAAGCACCTCTCTTTTTTTTTTTTTTTTTGGAGAGAATCTTTGGAGGTTGGGGGGCATTAAATAACACAGCAGAGAGGTGAGCCCAGCCCGTGTCCCTCTGCTTGGCCCCTTTTACCCTCTCTCAGCCACGGTAGCAGTTCTCAGCAGCTTCCCCACGAGCATCTGGCTGCCAGCCTGGGGTTGCAGTGACCCACTTAATAAAGCTGCAGAAACAAACCCACTCCCTGCAGAAAGCCCGGCTCAGCAAGGCGGCTTTTCACTCCCAAGGGTGCAGCTGGGCAGGGGCAGCAAAGGGGGTGCCCAGCACGGGCAGCGCTCGCTGGGGTGCGAACACCTCTGCGGCACCCCGGGTGCCCCCAAACCACCCTGGGCGAGGGTGCCCGTACGGTGCTGCACGTGGGGAAACCCTCCTGGCAATGGAGCTCTGCAAAGCCTGAGCCCCTGACCGCCGGGAAGGGCCGTCCCGAGCACCCTGCTCCCCTCGGGGTGTCCTCCTTCCCGGGGGGGGGGGGGTGGCTCTGCTCCAGGCTCTGCCTGCTGTAGTGCCCTTCAGTAAATAACTGTTTAACCAGCAGACAAATGGGCTCCAGGTGCTTTCCGATGGCAATGCATTCATTAACACAAGCGGCTATTAATTTTTACACCCACGCTCAGGCAGTTGGGTTAACCCCCCCCCCCCTTCCCGCCTGCTCTGGGGGGGCCCCTCTGTGCTGGCTGCGGGGGAAGGCTCGGTCTGATGCAGCTGGTGTGTTTGGTGGTATCTGCTTTGAGGCTCCTTCAGCAAAAACCCCCGAGGCTCTCACGCTTCAGTTCACGAGAGATCTGGGGGTAGATCCACGGTACCTCCACGGCGCCCGCTGAACCTGGCCCTGGTGTGCTGGGGCGGGGGGGGGGGGGGGGGGGGGAACACACATTTCCTCAAGTGCTTTTGCTCCGTGCTCCTGCAGCCTGGGGTCTTGGGAGTGTGGCTTTGAATCTCACCCACACCTGAAAAAAAATGTATATCCCACCCATAAGACACTTAAGCCTCCTCCTTTCTGTGCTACAAAGGGGTGTGAGCAAATGTCCCCGTGGCCTGGGGAGACGTGGGGGAAGAAGCCCCCGGGGGGGGCTGTGAGATGGCTGATGGCGAGTCCTGGGTGGCAGAAATGAGCCGGGATGAGGTGAAGGACGTTGGTGATGCTGAAGGGCCGCGGGAGCTGGGGCCGGTGCTGGGGCCGGGCTCAGCCCCACGGCCAGGGCTGTCCCGGCTGCGCTCTGACCTCTCCTTCCTCTCCTGTCGCTGTAGATAAAATACCACGAAGAGTTCGAGAGGAGCAGAATGGGCCCGAGCCCCAGCGAGGGCGCTGAGCTGGAGCGCAGGAACTCCCAGGAGAGCACCAATTACCGGAGACCCGCCGAGCAGCAGCATCAGCCGCCTCATCACGTCCAACCCAGCAACCCAGGTAAGGCTGGGGGGGGTTGGGGGGGGCCCGGCTCTTCTTTGTGAGGGGCTTTGCTGTGTCCCCCACGTCCCAGCACCAGCTCGGGGTGACGGACCCGGCTTTTTCCCCTTCCCCAGGCTACCAGCAGCAGCAGCCGTCGTCTCAGTCCTACGGCTACAAGGAGCCCACGGCGCCAGCCTCTACACAGCGCAACGCTCCTTCTGGAGGGGGGGTGAGTAACAGCCCCAGGGCTCACAGCACCAGCCCCCCAGTTCCCACCCCCCCTTGAGGGTCGGGGTTTGCTCCACTCGCTCCCCGCCCCTGCGCAGGGGCAGAGCAGTTTGGAAGGGGCTGATGCTGGGTGCCTGCTGCTACTGGTGCCTGGCAAGAACCTCCTGGATCCATCGCGGTTCTCGCGTGGGGCTCGGAGGAGCTCCCTGCCCCGGGACCCCCCCCCGCCCCCCGCCCCCACGGATGGCAGCTCTGTCCGTCTGGGGCAGGGCCCAGGGAGGGTCTGTGCCCGCTGAACACCCCCCCCCCTCTCCCCGCAGAAGCGTTTCCGCGCCGTCTACGATTACAACGCGGCTGACGAAGACGAGGTCTCCTTCCAGGACGGTGACACCATCATCAACGTGCAGCAGATCGACGACGGGTGGATGTACGGCACGGTGGAGCGCACGGGCGACACGGGCATGCTCCCCGCCAACTACGTGGAGGCCATCTGAGCCGCGGGAGGGGACGGGGCACGTGGCTGAGAGCCGAGCCCCCCCACCCCACCCCACACCCCCCCCCAAATATGTGTGTGTGTGTGCGCGCGTCTCTCTGCCCCGGCATCCCTTAGCCCGCGTGCTCTGGCGTCGCCCGCCGGAGCCACGTCCTGACATCTCGGTGACTCCGTGTTTCTGCAGCCGTCTCCGGTTTCTCTTGCCAATTTAGCTTTGTTCTAGCTCTGTCGGGACCGAGGGACTGTCTGCAAGGGATGTTGGGGGGCTCGAGAGACCAAACCGCCGCAGCTTTCCTTCTCCTTCCGTCTCCCTCCTCTCCAGCCCGCCCAGGTACTCTGGGATTTCCTGGCTGGGGGAAGCAGCCAGAATTGCCGGGACCTCAGCAAAGGGGGGAGGAGACCATCTTAGGACCAAATTCCCCCCACTCGGGTGGGGACGGGCGATGTCTGCGTGGGCGAGGTGAGAGACGCTCGCCCCGGGGGCTGCCCTGGGCTGCCGGGAGGGATGGGCTGGCAGCCTCCACCCTGCACGGCTCTGGCTCATCCCGTTGCTTCTCCCAGCTCCTCTGTGGGGTTGTTTCCGTTCAGTCTTCGCTCCCTTCCGTCCTCAAAACAGAAAAACATTCACAATTTAAAATCTTGACCTTTCTTTTTTCTTGGGGTTCAGAGCGGTTGCTCTGGACAGCCCTGGAAGCGGCTCTTTTCGCTTCTGCCTGGGGCTCTGGCTGCTTCATCCCAACCCCTCCGGGGCCGAGCCGGGGCTGGGCTCCTGCAGGGAAAGGAGTAGCTGCAGCGTTGCCTCTCCCGAGGCTGCTGCTCCCGCTCGAGGGCTGGAGCTGGGCTGGGCTCCCCGCTCCTCTGCGCTGGGGGGGGGAGCGCTGCGACACCGAGACCTCACATCCCCCCCCCGCAGCTCCGGTTTTCTCTCTTTGGGCCAGGGTCTGGGGGTCCCCTGGGCCCCACGTGCCGGGGCAGCCTCTTCCTCTTAGCAGTGCTCGCTCCCCAAATTCCCCCAGAATCTTCCCGCTTTTCTCTTGCTGCTGCCGGGCTTAAGGGACCCTCCTGAGCCCTCCACCTGCTGGGTATCTGGTCTGGGGAGCCGGCAGGATCAGCCCCCATCCCTGTGCCTCTCCCGAGCCACGTGTGAAAGATCCTTTCCCTCTGCCACCGTGCCGGACACCGTCCTGGGTGACTGTCCCCTCCGGCAGCTCGGTCTTGAGTGGCAGAGACCGGAGTTTGGCACCCTGAACCACGCTGCGCCTCTCATTGGTCCCCAACGACGGTGGCTTTTGGGGCCACCGCTGACTTGGGATCACGTCATGGACCAAAATCTCAAAGCACGTCCCTGTCCCCGTCTCTTTTGGGCTCCGAAGGTCCTGGAGCTGGGCTGGGGCAGGTATAACTGGAAGCCTGTGCAGGGAGGGTGGGAGTGGGATGCTCTTCCCCCCCCGGGTCACAGGAGCCAAACGTGGGGGCAGTGGTGGTGCCTTCGTGCTGCCCCATGCCCGCTCACAGCCCTGGGGAACCCGGAGGGGACCGTCCCCTGGCTGGGGGGGGGGGGCTTGGGCTGCGCCGCACCGCGGGGCCAGGCTGCTTCCAGGGGGAAGCTGCCGCTTTTGCTATTCCCAAAGGAAAAAGGGGGGGGGAATCTAGGGACCAAAGCAGCCGAGTTGGCTCTGGGGACACGTCCCTGGGGACAGTCTCACGGAGGGGGAGAGGATCCCGCCCGCCTCATGCTCGCAGTCCCCTTTCCCAAAGCGCACAGGGCTGGTTCGGGGACGGTGCTGGGGTTGGGGCGAGCGGGGTCGGGGGGCTGCTGTTCTGGCGGGGAGGGGGGTTCCCAGCAGGACAGAGACCCGCCGGGCGGGCGGGAGCCGGGGCAAGGGGAGCGTTTTGCTCCTGGCTTGTTCCCCAGTTGGCTGCAAGGGGAGCGGGGAGAGTGACGGGGACTCCTGGCACCGTCGTCCCCGCGGGGTGGAAACGGGACCCCCGGGGGCAGCCAGGGTGGGCTTCACGGGATGGGAATCCCGGTTGGTGCTAAAACAAGCGAGCACAAGAGCGGGGGTGGGGGGGGGGGGTGGCTGGGCAGGGGGGAGTCTGCATCTCCCTGCTAATCCTCTTCTTAATCACGTTCTTGTCTGGGAATGGGGGGGGCGAGTATCAATGTGAATAAACCGTTTTTTAATGGACCAAATAACACAGGCGATTACATTTTGGTATAAAGACCTTTTTTTAATGCTACCTTGAAACCATTGTCCTAATTCTCCCCTCCCACGCCCTGCCCCTTCTCCCCTGCCATGGGAAACAAACCTCTTACTGCTTGATTTCTGCCTTTTTCTCTCGACTTATGCACTTTTTTGCCTTTTTTCATAGCTGAAAAGCACCTAAACCTGTATTTAAAATAAATAAATAAATAAAATAGAAAAAAAAAAAAAAAAAGAAAAGAAAAATTAAAAGCTAAATTGCTTCTCATCACATGTAAAATAGACCTTGTCCACCCCAGCTTCCCCAGTTGCGTCTCAGTGCTGAGCTTAGAACGTGTTTTCTTCTGGATCCATCGCTTGATTGGGGTTTGTCCTTGTGTACTCCTTCCCGTCGGGTTGGGCACCCACCAATAAAAAAATGTCATTTGGCCTTTTTAACCGAACCATCGAATGGAACAAACCAACTGATTCTCTTCCCGGTTTACTCGAATTAAAAATAAAAGTATAATTTTTACCTGTCATTGTGCTGGGTTTGATTGTGGTGGCTTTTCTGGCCGTTTTCCTGCTCCCTTTGGTCACGGTGGGGATCTCGGGTCTGGGGGAGGCTGTCAGAGCCGGGGTCCTCATTCTGCCTGGCTCCCCCTGGGAGCGGGAAACGCGGCATCCCTGGGAAGCGGCCTGGGATGCAGCGTGTCCGGCTGATGCGCTGAGGCCACCGGGTACCACGGAACCCCGGGGGGATCAACCTCGGAAATTCAGCCGGGAGCCGCGTTGGAGTGACCCCCCCCCCAGCAGAGGAGGCGCAGGCGATGCCCACCCGCTCGCCGACCGGCCTTGGGGGAGGGTCTTGCTCTCGGAGGCCAAACGCCGGGTGCAGCGGGGGGGCTGGGATCTGCCGCCGTTCAGGTGTGCCCGGGGCTGCTCCCGAGGGAAACGGTCAGCTTTGCTGTGGGCAGCGTGGCAAGGGCACCGGGCACCGGCTTCGTCCGACCTCTCCGCCGACGCAGCGCCGTGACGGCTGGGTCCTCAGGACCGGCCCTTGTGCTGGTGTCGACGGCTTAGCTTGGCCGCTGCAGCCTCTTGAAGGGGGGGATTTTCGGCAACTACGGGTGTTTAGCGGTGGGAAAATGAAACCTCGAAGGTATGTGGATAATGGTGTTATTTGCGTGAACAGCACTAGCTAAAAAAAAAAAAATAAAACAAACAAATAGAAAGGCTCCATGGCTGTTGCTGCTCACTTCAGACTGTGCTGAAGGAGGTGGTGTGACGCTGAAGGCGAAGGCTGCTGCAGAACCGGACTGCAAGGTGAGAGTTCAGCACCGTCCCGACTGATCAACGACGGCCAAAGCTCTTTTTTGCTTCTGTCCCCAGAGGGTGGGCCCTTTCCCAGCTGCAAAAAGCGGGGGGGGGGGGTGCCACATCACCATAAGCACCCCCCATAAACTGGGCAGCGGTTTGGGTAGGAAGAAGCAGGGGCAAAGCAGGCGGGAGCCTTGCTCGCAGGTCTGGGCTGTGCGACAACTCCTCCGCCCGCGCGAGGCCGAAGCCCCGGCCGCCCGCCCGCGTTTTTTCCCTTAATTTTCTCCCTGCCCGCTGGCAAGCGGCTCCGTCAGCTCCGGCATCATCTCTCCATCCTGAGCAGAGCGAGAGCCGTGCCCCGGCGGGGAGGGGGGGGACGCGGGGGCCGAGCCGCGGGGGCTGGCGAGCCAAGCGGCGGCGAAGCCGAGCAGCCCCTTCCCAACGCCGCTGGGGAGCCCGGCAGCCCCCCGCCCCACCGGCCCCTCGCTCACCATGCTGGATATTTTCATCCTGATGTTTTTTGCCATCATCGGCCTGGTGATCCTCTCCTACATCATTTACATGCTCTAGAGCGATGCCGGGGGAGATGCGGCTCAGCATCAGCCTCGCAATCGGAGCATCGTCCAGGTGAGCCGGCTGCCCCTCATCCCACCAGGCTTTAATCCCTGGGAAGAAACGTGGCGGGGGGAGCGGGGGGATAATTCTGGTTTTAATGCTGTTATCTTTGGCTGCTGCTCCCTCTGCCTGGCCGAGGCAGCCGAGCCGATTCCTGCTCAGGGCTGGAAGGAGGACACCAAGGTTTATTTTATAAATCAGGCCGTCTCGCCTGCTGAAACGTGCACCGGCCATTGTGCGGCTGCTGGGTTCTCCCCCCTGGGTTTATCGGCCCCTTCCCACTCGGAAAAGCTGCTCTCTGCCTCTTACAGCGCGGCAGCACGAATCTGTGGCTTTTGTTCCCGAGAGAGAGAGAAATGAAACAGCTTAGGGGAGAAGCAAGAAAAGATGCCGGTTGCATCCTTTGAAAGGAGTCAAAGAGGTGAAGGGGGGGGGGGGTGGGGGGGTGGGATGTCCTGCAGCCTCTGCCCCCTCCCCGTGCGGGGTGAAGGAGGGGGGGCTGCTGCCGTGCCCACCCTTCACGTCTGGGTCTCCCGGCAGCGCTCAAGCCCGGCTCAGCCAAGCCTCTCCTTTCTCTCCCACAGCCCCCTCCCGGTCCGTCGCCCTCGGAGCCTTCTGGAAAAGCTTCGACCCCCCCGCCAGCAACCGGCCGCCCGACGCGCAGCGAGGGGCTCTGGGGGGGGGGGTGGGGGGCAAAGGAGGGAACTGGGGTGGCAGGGAGGGGGCTGCGAGGTGACGGCCCGCTGCCGAGCCGGGGGTTGTGCCCGGTGACGCCCGCGGCGTCCCGGGGGGATGCGAAGGGTCCGGCCCCCCCGCTCCGCGTGGCTTAGCCCCTTGGGGCGCACGCTTCCCAGGTCGGTCGGTCGGGTTTGAATTTAGAAAAGCACTTATATTTTTCACGAAAAACGTCGAAGGGAATGAAATAAAGAGGAGAGGCCCAGGAGAGTGAAGGCGTCTGGTGGTGCTGGCTCTGCCGAACCGCGTCCCTGCGCGTTGGCTGACTGCTGGGCTGGGGCACACGCGGCTCCGGGGGCAAATCCTGCTTCTGTGGAGGGACACGGGGCACCCCCCGAGCCCCGAGATCCCGGCAAACCACACTGAGACACCCCCGTGTCCCCAGCACGGGCAGCTGCTGGGGGGGGGCCCTGGCCCAGGCGCTCGGGGGGTCCGAATCCGGCTCTTCCCCGCTTGGGTTCAGGTTCAGGGAAGCTCCGGGAGGTCTCAGTTAACCTCAACATAGAGAAAGGAACTTTTCGAATATGATGGAAATTTCTGTGAGATGGAAAGAACATTTCAGAGCTTAATTTCTCCCAGCTTGGAGAGGTCTGGGGAGGTATTTGGGGCCTCAGGAGAAGTTTTCCTGTCCTTTTATGAAGCCCTGCATCGATCCCTGCCCTTGCAGTGTCAGTCACATGCAGTGCTCTTTTCAGACTGAAAGTTTCATCCGCCTAGAAGACAAAATTTTCATACGATGCCTGGTCTCTCCCAATAATTTTTTTTTTTTTTTTTTTTAAGCAACAAACACCTGAAATAGATGTAACGGGGACAAGCGCTCATGCCCCCCATCAGTTATCCATGGCACCATCACGCGAGTGGGTGCGAGAGAACCGGCTCCAGCGAGAGTGGGGGCTGTGCAGGCACTGCCGGGGTGCGCGGGAGCCGGCCGAAAAGACTTTCAGAAGATGGTGTTTACAGAAAGAAGAGGGATTTCAGAGTCTGGGAATGCTGGATGCGGTTAGTGTTGCCAGCTGAATACTTGACACTGCAATTTCCTGTTAGTGAAACTCCCGAGAGAGACACAAAGTTGGTGACTTTGGTCCCGAGGGAGTTCTCGGTGAGGCGGCCTCAGGCCGAGCTACCCAGGGCAGCCCCTCACCACTGGGGATGGGGAAAAGCTTCTCCTCGCTCCACCACCAAATATAGTCGAAAATCAGAAGCTTGAAATATTTTGGGAGGAATTTCTTCAAGCATAAGTCATGTTCTCAACAAGCTCCGCTGCGTGAGTCTGTATCTGATATCAACATCTGCAGTGATTAAGAGTGAGTAACGAGGAATGCACGGAATGGAAACTCAGCTGAGTGTGAAACCAGGAACAATAATTTTCTCTTACTCCGAAGGCTCCTCTCCCCTCGGAGGGCCTTGCAAACCCGCCAGCTCTGCGTAACAACCCCTTCCTCCTCCATGCCCCAAACGGCCAGCTCCGCGCCGGGAGGCGAAGGGACGCGGCCCCGCGGGGCGCAAAGGGACTGAAAGCGCCGGGGGGGGGGGGGGGGAGAGGTGTTGGCAAACAGACAAACAGCCGCAGCGGACAGGGGCACGGGCTCTTGGGGCGACGGGGCGCGGCACTCCGCACCCCTCTGCTCTCAGAAGAGCTCTGCTGGCACCGGGGGGGGAGGTGGGAATTTTGCTTCTCATCCTGGGCGGGTTTTTATCGACTCCCCACGGCAGCAGCTCACATTTGGCAGCGGAAGAGAAAGCCCCGTTTTCTCAATATCGAGGTCCCAGCTCCTCTGGCGCACGGTGCTGCCCGGGGGGTCCCCGCCTGGGTGCCACTGGCCCGGCGGTGTTTAACGGCGGGAGCCGATCAGAGGGTGATATCGGAAAAGGAGGCTGCAAGGGCTGGTGCCGTTTTTCCAGTTCAAACGAAACTGGTTCGGAAAGCACCGCTTTGGTGGGCCTGAGCTCTGATCCTTTGGGGAGGAAAGTCCTCCTCTGGTGGAAGCGCTGAACAAAAGCTAGCGGCAAACGCTTGCTGAGCAATTGCGTATGTGAGAAAAAAAAAAAAAAAAAGAGTGGGTAATAATAATAATAATTAATAAGGCCATCAATATCTCACGGTTGGCGGCCGCCTAAGACTCGCGTGCCTGGAGGATCTGCTGCGAGCGCCGGCGGAGCTGACGTTTCAGCTTTGCTGGCTGCTGCCAGTGACTCGAAGAGCTTCCTCTCCCCGTATCACTGCGCTCGCCTAACGGCATCCCTCGTGACGGGCGCTCTTAACCCACCGCCGCTCGGCCGGCGGCGCCGGGGGATGAGGCAGGCCCCGGGGGCAGAGCCAGCGCCGAGGCGGCCTCATGCCCGGAGCGAGGGGACGAGGTGGCTCTCAGGGCCCCACTCCGTTATCCCCGATTCCGGCCGTTGAGATTATTTATCGGTAGGAGAGGGAGGGCCGGCCAGCCAGCTGGGCCGTGGCATCCCGCCTCAGCGGCCTCCCGGCTGCCTTTCCCCGGCCTCGGTAGATCTGTTTTCTCCTCATATTTGAAGGTCGTTAAGGATCTGTTTGGAGGCGTTCTGCTCACTGACGACATGTCAGGGAGTCTTGCGTTTCGCTTCCTTCAGAAATAACATCTGGTTGCGGCACAGCTGTGGCGTTGCAGCGTGCTCTTAAATAAAACCTTCAAAGAGCAAGAAAAAAAGGGATATTGGAAGCAATTGCCTGCAGATACTCCTCTCGGGAAGGCTTCACCTCTGCCATCTACCGGCACGCTGCAAAGAGCCTCTGCAAATTATTATCCACTCCTTGACGTAATCAAATCCTGTCTGTAATTGTATATTCAACAAATGTTGCAAGAATTTTTAACCTGCAAACCGCCGAGCGAATCATCACAGAGCTGTTTGCTGTCAGCTCATTACTGATCAAATCAAGTGGGGGCAGCTGGGGTAAGCGGGCACCAATTCCCTGTTTGCAGCTTTCAGAGCTGAACAGGGGCCCTGCAGCTACAGCCTGGCCCGGGAGGAACACTGAAACATTTGGAAAGTGGTTCAGGTGGAGATGAAGGACACTGAATAGTAGGAAGGAAACAGCCACGTTGTAAACTGCGCACAGTAAAGTAAGTGCTTTTTATTATGCATTCCATACTTGTGTTTTGAAGGCAATAGAGCAGAAAATCAAAACCTTTTATAAGTAGCAAACATTTATATACTTCAGTGAAACAGTGATCTTAGCCTATGTGCGTTTAACGTGTGTCTTCAACTTAGCTACATCCTACGAAGGCAAATACACTTCAACAGTTCAGTTATTACACTAGGTAGGGAGAGGGATTTGAAGTTTCTTCTGCTTTATGGCACGTGTAGTTTGAGGGGAAGAAAATGCCTTGCTTGATCAAAGCAGTGAAATTGCTGTCAGGAATCGCCTCTTTCTGCTGAAGCCGAATGCACAATCGGTGGAGCAGTTGTGTTGCAGAATGTGAGTTAGTGAGAGAGACCCTGGCAAACTGCAAAAATGCGGCTGTGCTTCTCTAATTGTGTCTGTCTGTCGCTCCTCCAATTCCCAAGAGAAAACAAAAGATCTGAACGTTTTTGGTTCTGAACTAAGACAACATTCTTCAATTTGTGTATGCACATCAAACATGAAAACCATGTCATTTTTATTGTGTATGCAAACATACACAGTGGGAAGAGAATGCAGCTCGTGTTCCCAAACCAGAGGCCCCCAGCCTGCTTCCTCAGAGCGTCTTAGCGCAGCCTCCGCGGAGCAAGTCGTGCAGAACTCCGCTGCGACTGCTGAGAGGTCCCCAACGGTTCCATGAGCTCATTCAGCTGCTCTGACATGTATGGCACTAGCTTCTCCTGCTGCCTCTCCACCTCTTACTGGAATGGAAATTTAAGAAGTAATTGGACAGGTCTTTGCAAATGCTTAAAAAAAAAAGAAGAAAAATCCAGCAGGAGTAGAGTAAGAGTCTGTAAAATTCAGAGCATCAAACGGTGTTGCTGTTGCTTCTCATGGTAAGGTACAGGATTTCTTTATGGAAGTTCGCTTGTGCATTTACAAAGTGGAATAAATTCAGAAAGCTGATGTCCTCTTCATCACGATCCCCTAGCAGGGCAAAGAAAACCATTTTAAAATGATCAGAGAAACTAAATTACATCTTCAAAGATAAATCTTATTCCTTCCGTGTTTCCAGCAGAGGCTGAATCAGCAGCCTTCCCTTAGATTTATGAGGCATCAGCTACTGCACCTGATGGCAGGACAGCTGTGAAATAACACAGGAGACTCTCTCCAAAATTCCTTCACCAGCTTGTCCAAAGACGGACAAGAACAATTGTGCGTTAAGACAAAAAATCTGTCCTAACCGAGCAGGCCGTTCATCTTTACAGCTTGCCACCATCATCGCTCTCGAGGTTTTTCTCGAGGCTGACAAGCTGTGGACAGGGAGCGACTGCCGCTGGTTGAGCAGAGCGGGCTGGCTGGCCGCTGCCCAGAGCGCGTGTTTAGACACGGCCCAAGAGGACCTCGGGCCTGAAGCTCTGGTGGGACGTACTTGAAAAGACTCTTGGTTTCACCACCCGTGGCACTAGGAATCTCTTAGGCAAGAGAGACCGGTTCAAAGAAGAGTCTCTCCCAAGTTATGACGCTTGACTGATGGTTTTATGTTATCAGAACGCTCCAGCATCGCCCTGCCTGGTGAGGGAGGGAAGCTCAGGCTGCGACGCCACGCCAGCTGCCTCGATGCCTTGGTCAGCACTAGCTCCTGATCCGAGAGCTCGTCCCGGCTCGCAGACCCGCAGGCTTACCGGACAGCACTGCCTGTACCACGTCCATGATCACGTAAGCGAAGGCGTTCTCCACGCACTGCAGAAAGTTGTTTCTCTCCCCTGGAGTGCTGAAAACTTTGCAGACCTTCTGCATCATTTTTACCACCCAGTCCATGCAGTACAGGTCCTTCTCACAGACCTGACGTACACAGGAAATATTAGAAACGCCTTTTGTGATGAGTACAAAGCTATAAAAGGCAAGATTAAATCTCAGAATTAACTATTGACTCTAATGAATGACTCGATGGGTTGCAGCCATGGCCTGGAAAATTAGGGCCTTTTATGAGGTTGTTCTTGTTGGTGGCATGCTAATGGAGGAACTTGTCCACCTTTTGCTAGTGGTGCTCCTCCTCAAGGACAGGCTTGCTAGCTTGCAGCGACCAGAGGGTGGAAGAGTACCAAGCCTCTTGCTGGACTTACTCCTGGTTTGCAGGAGTAGATGGGGAAACAGCAAATCTGGGGTAAAAGAGGCAAAGGGCCCGAGCCTGCCCTGTTCAGTAGTACTCACCAAGGCCAGGAAGACCACGAGTCTGGCTAACTCGACAGCTCTCCCGTTCACAGCTTTACTGGCCATGAAAGTGAAGCAAATGTTGTTTCCACTCAGAATAAGAAGCCGAGCATTGTTCTCCATGAGCCACTCCCGAGGAACAACTTTGCAATAAAATAGAGAGAATTTTAGTGATCTTTGAACAAAAAGAAAGGAGTGCCACAATAACTATTCTGGGAGACGTGAATTTATGAATTGTTGGCTTTGACAGCTAACCAGAATTTGTGAGGGGATACCCTCTGCAATACAATTGCAGCCGTGAAGTCTCATAAGCAATTCCTACCGGCAGTACAGTTAGAGCCATTCACGATAGCTTCTGTTATATAATCTCGCCCCAAACTAACTTTCAGTGTAGCCATTAACATGGTTCAGTAGAATTCTGGCTTGAACAAACATGATGTTTTCAGCTTACACAGCTTAGACAGTGTTTCCTTAATAATGGCTAGACAAGACTTGAATTTTAAAGGTCTGCGCAGAATCTTAAAATATTTCACCATGAGGAAAGACAGCCTGAATTTGTAAGCAGTGCTGGGTTTTTCTCATCCCCAGCTACTGCCTGGCTTCCAAGTGTAATGACTTTTCCAGTTACACCACAGCTACTGTGAGGAATCCTACAGTGAGTTCCCCAAGGCACCTGCGTGTCTGAAACACACTTATTGCCAGATTTGGAGGACATGAGCGTATAATCCTATGGATTAATGATAAAGGCAAAAACATACCTGACAGCTCATCCACAAGACTGATAACATCATCTGCCGTCCATTCTCTCGCTTCTGTATCATACAGCAGTTTAATTGCATCTGCCAGACCTTTCAGGCTGGTCTCATCTGTTGGTCCTTCTATCATTTTCTGCCAGACCACATGTCCTGAGCAATATATTAATCACAACTGCTATTGAGTGACAATTTTTAATTTTTTTTTTTTCAAAACCAAAGAAGGTGATAAACTGGGCCTTACAGCTGAGTCAGAGGGGAGTTCAGGTAACACAACTCAGTCTCTGACAGAGATGTTTTCCATCTGTCATTTTAGTAGGGACAGGGGTGGTTGCAGCATGAATCAAAGGGCGATTTAAAGAAACCCAGGTCTAATAATTAAGTGAGAAAGCATGTTTTTCTTCAGCGAAACAGATGCTCCTTTGAGGTGCGTTTGAGCTAATTCTACCCTAAGCAGGGGAGAATAGAGGAACAGAGGTGCAATTTCTTCACTTTAATTTTAACTCTTCAATATATATATATAGATGGAGACATATATATATATATATACACACGTATCTCATTTATGTATTTGATGTATGTTAGTAAGATCTGGTTAAGCAGAACAATTTTTTCTAGGCAATACGATTACATTTTATTTGCATAAAGCTTGGTTTTCAGAAATGCTGCATGGAAATCTCATTCTCAGGGAACAAACTTTGAAAATTAACCCCCCAGACTACTCGCCATCAAGGGAGGACACTGGCCCAAAGATGATATACAGCAGGCGAGCTTGATTAACAATGGGCCATGGCTTTAAAATACGAGTCAACCAAAATGCAGAATCACTTTGATGAATCCAGTGGTTCAACAAGACGCTACGACAGTATAACCTTATCCGCAGCTCTAGCTTTCGGGCACTTCCTGGGGTAAAAGAATGTAGATATTAAAAATCCATTAAGCCTTACGCAATACAGATGATCACTTTTTTTTTTTTTTTTTTTAATAGGAAGAGAAAGAAGGATTTTCTTAAAGCTGCCCAAGAACATCTAGGGGCATTCAATGAAATTCTCAGCTGTTACTTCCCGAGTCTGACTCTTTTGGGTATATTGCATAAATTCAGGCCATAGAATCTGTTGTTGCACCCTCTGGTACCTTTCTGCAGCAACTCATGCATGTCTCCAAGAGCTCTCTGCTATGATTTTTGCTTTCTGTTTTTTGGCACCAGTGAGTGGAAATAGGAGGAAGTGTGCATGTGGCTGTGTATAGTGTTCCACAGAAATACTTGGTTCCGTGCTGGGTAACATGAGAATTTCTTGAGAGGCATGTACCACGTCAGTGTTGTGTTTTAGAAATATTAAACCTAGCTTTTTACTTCATCACTTTATTTTTGTGTTGGTTCCTTTCCCCTTGATTTCACTGGTATTGGTGTACAGTAGGAAAGCCTCAAGTCCGTGTTACTGCTTGCATATGTACATAACTTAGACATTGGCTTGATAATGGAATGATTTTAAAAAAGCTAAACGCCTCTCAAGACAACTCTCTTCACTATGGGGTATGTGTCAAAGACAAAAGCACTTATCTTTGCTTTTGATGAATTAAAAATAGCTGTATTTACCTATAGGAAGGCCAAGTATTTGCTTTAGAACACCCACTTTCTGCGTAAAATTGGAGCTAACAGAATATACACAAGAGTCAGGAAAGGATTGGTGCTACAAGGTTTAGCTGAGCTAAAACATTCCCAATGCTGTTTGCAGTAATCAAGATAATTTTCTGACTTTTCCACGAGAGCACATTTTGATTTTGAAGGACTTTTGTCTGCTTTGGTGATTACCTGGTTTGCTGCTGACAACTGTCTGTACTTTACGGGGTAAATTGCTCAGCTCACAGAGGAAGTTAAAAACCCGGTGACACTCTAGTTCATCCCAGCCTGCTGTTAGGATCTGAAGATTACAAAAGAAATGGGGTAAAAATGAATAGATTGAGCCATAGATTTAGATCACAGTGCCATTTCTCATATTAAACAAACGCAATCTGTCCTGCCATTTCTCCGAACAGAGAGGGAAGGTGTCACACCTGGAGTGCAGTGCCTGCACAGCATCTCCCTGATGAGTGGAGGGAAACCATTATCTGCTGCAGAGGTGCTGTACGTTATGGCAGAGGTTCTACTAAAGCTTAATGCAGCCCACAATCAAAACCTACTAATTGTGTTCCATATTCAGGGCCAAGATCTTATTTTTGAACCTTATGTGGAAAAGTACACAAAGGTATTTGCTACAAAGGCAAATGTCCCAGCACAAATAATTATCTGTAACTCCTAACCACAGAATGATAATCACATTTTTTTGTATTATCAAATACTTTAATGTTACATATGTATGCAACACCTGTACGCACAGGTTTCTAGGACTTAAATACATCTAAACTGTGCTCAAAATGTCTGTTCTTCAAAGAGAGAATTTGTTTATTTTTTTTTAAACAAAGTTACTCTCCAGTACAGCCTCCATGATGGCAATTCTAAAACTTCACAATCAAACATCTCAAAGTAGTGTTTGTTAAAAAGGTCCTACCCATAGTGTTTTACTGCATAGTTGCAATCACAGTAGTCATTACAGTAAAGAAGCTGTGGATTGCTGAACTAAGTAATTTGACACTGATTTTTTTTTTTTTTAATTAAGATACCGCAAGCTAACAAAAATATTCTGGCGTACAACGTGTAGAGCCATTTACTCTTAAACTAAACCATCTCTGCCCTTGATTTGTGAATCTGAAGCTGTGTAATAAAATGCTCCCTTCTCTCATGTCTTCTTGGACAATAAATCGCTAATCAAAATCCAGACTGGATAGTAGTGAAATCCAGACCAACAAATTCTCAAGAGTCAAATCAGCAACTTTAACAGCTAGAAAGGAAGTTCAGAGAACTGTGTGAATACTTTCCCCTCTACACCCCAAGGCTCAAAAGCATATTATACTTGTATAATATCTTGCAAAAACCCCACAGATTAATTTAGAAAACTACCTTAATTTTCTATTTGTGATACTTGCCTTCTCTCCATAAAGATACTGTACCTGTAAAAATACCCCATAGCACTGTAATCCTAAACAATGCAAAGGACTCGGACAACCATTAAGTTTAAAACAGGAAACCTGCAAGTGCAAAACACTAGTAATTTATCTTATCTGACCATAAACTAATTCCTTTTGTTGAAAATTCTCTGTACTACTGGTGTACATCAATACTGATTAGAGAAGTTCAGAAGGATTCTCTTCCCTTATTATATAAGGAAACAAGTTATAGTACTTATCTTTGTTATAGTTTAGCATTAAGTTCAAAACTCTGGTCGAATGGGTGTGCAAAAGGTCTCTAGGAGGAGCAACCCTGTTTTCAGACAAGTAAAATTTCTGTGAAGAGCTGTGCTCTTCCACTGCAAAATTTCTAGTAGTCCACAAACTGAAGAAAAGTTGAAAACCGCTGACCTTGGAATATGAAACCTCAGTAGAACAGCCTTGTGTTCAATATGCTGGCTTAGGCTTTTCTATTGTTATTGAAATGAGACTGATTGGAAACCAATAAATTCATCACACAGTAGTAATAAACTTCAGCAAAGGGACAGTAAAAGGCATAATTCAACGAGTAATTGCCTTCTAGAAACAGTATTGTAAGTGCAAGGGACAATTCCAAACACTAGTGAAAGGAATGTGAACTTACTTCTGAAAGAATCTTGTGTATATACTTGAGCCTATCTTTTGTAGGCAATAGAAGTGTGCATCTTTTAAACAACAATCCTGTGAACGAAATTAATACATACACGACTGTGAGCATACATACATGGCACATACATTACTGAGTTAGCTTAACATCCACATCACATGTGTGTGCACACACTCGTGAGAAAAAGCTGCTGCTGCAAGGTGGAAAGAGCAGCACAGAAGAGTAACCTGTGCTTTGGGAAGGGGTGTACGCTTTTGTAGCGGGGTCATCTTGTACTGAAGAAATGTTGTCAGGGAGTATGTAGGCTTCCTATGCCAGGAGTTGTTTATTGTGTTGTTTTAAAGTCCCTGTTAGTCACAGTTGGAGCCCTGTTAAAACTACTACATTGGTTTTAGAATTACAGCTGTTAAAAATATTGGAAATAAATGTTACTTGTTGCACCCCTTCTAACAATACCCTGAGGAACGCTGGTTTTCCCCTTACGTCATGGAAAGCTGAGATTCCAAAATTTTTTCAAGATAGCCACATGCTCTAAAAAGAAAATATTCTAAGCTATGTTAATGTAAAACATAGCTAAGAGGTAAAATTATTTTCCTATACAGGACTGAAATGGTATGTGTTTAGGATGTCAAAGTCTGGAGTTCATTATAGTGTGGAACAGCTGTTTGTTAAGCAGCTTTTTTTTTTTTTTTTCTCTACACTACTGATAGAAATGGGTTAACAGCTTGCTCTTCAAAAACTTTTACCTGAACAAAATATATATCTTGTTTGTTAATTAATCAAGAAATCCCTAGAAAAGCGCATGCTTTTCTAGGGGTAAAAAAAAAAAAAAGGGAAACTTTTTTTCCAAATTGTCAGTCTCCCAAAAAATACATAACTTCTCCAATGTCAAAAAGTACTTCATGCATTTACTGTGGTTCCAAATTGACTCTTTCCTTATTTAGAAGTGTGTTAGCATTCCTACATGACAGACATAATTTATTCATTAGCCTAGGACATGGGCCAAAGCTCAGTCAAGTCAATTTTCTATTGACTAGATGAGACTTTGGAGAGAATTCCCTGAAGGATAGTTGAAACTGTTCAGACAACGTAGCTGCAAAGTAGAACACAGCCATCAGTGTGGGGAAAAAACTCTGTTGAGTCAAAAGGGTTGAGTAAAATGTACTGCTCCTGGTTTTGTACGGCAAAACCTCCCCTGTGCAGAAGGACAGTGCCACAGTCATTTATCACTCAAGCCCATTTTAAACAGTGACTGCAATTCTGACCCCATTACAAGTTCTGGAAGATTTTGCCATGGACTTGAGCGGAGCCAGACCCCTCTGAATTTAAGTGAGATTTACCTAATATGTAGACCCTGTTCAGGCACTCTGAACAGGAATTAATTTTTCCCGTTGAGCCCAGTCTTTACTGCTGTAAAGTAAATATTGATTTTGCAACTGACCTCTTAACAAAAACGTTCTCTTGAGCTTTCCACCGATGACACAGATATTGCCAATGATCTTAACATTTTGAATATGTCATGGGCTTACTGCTAGTGGCCTACCGTAGTGATGAGCTCACACCTACATTTAACTAACAAGTTGCCACTTTGTATGTGGTTACTACAAAGCCCAAACTAAGTTTGATTTTTTTTTTTTAATTTTGTTTTTAAGAATTGTAAAGTTGCAGTCTTAATTTTAAAAATAAAACACTAAGATTGCTTTAAGATTCCTCAAAACCTGCATGGATTGCTTACAATAGGAGGTCTTCGGTCTAAATGACTTCAACAGCATTCTTTACCTTGTGTTTGCCTTTATTTAATGACTTAAGTTCAAACCATATTTATAATTCTGCATCTAACCACAGCATTGTTTTACTTCTCTGCCAAATCAACAATGTTTTTTTTTTTATCAGATAGGTAACAGTAAATAGATATGGGTCAAATTATGTTTTAAATTCATGTGCTTCTCTGATAGAACGCTTTAGAATGAATTAGAATCAATGTGTCTTAAAAATTAGCAGAAAAGTTAAAAAGCAAACAATTTTGAATTTGAGGCAGTACACTGCTCCTCATTACCACTGAACCCATGATATTTGGATCCAGATTTCTATCATGCTATGCCAGAAGAGGTCTGAGCAGCTGAAAGAAAGAACAAGTGAATCTTTTCACCCAGAAAGGGTTTGCTTTGCACACAGTATACCATGACAGCAAAAGTGCAGACACTTTCACATTGCCCTTAAGCTAAGAGTGAGAGGAAAATGTGTTCTTCGTGCCCATTTCAGTCTTTCAACTCTGATACGAAGCCGCCAAGAAGAATGCGAGTCACTGACAACTGTGACAACATTCTTGTGACGAGCACACTTCTTTTCTAAGAAGTGGAATGTGATCTGCAATACATCTCGAACAGTCTTTCTGATGGCAACTGTTGCTGGTCACTTTAGGATTAGGCTGGGTTTAGGCACTGCGACTGCATTTCCCAGACTGAGGAATGCGAGCTCCTCCAAAGGGATACATGAAGGCAGCCTGAGCAGCCAAATTCCTTCAGCCAGTGTGGGGCCTGGGAGTCGTGGTTTCTGCTGCAGTTTCCAGTGGCGGTGTCCAAACTAACTAAATTTGGAAACACCTATTACTGAGAACTGATCCTCTGCCCAACCCTTGCTTGCCATTTAATAGGAAAAAATAAACATAGAGGAGGCAGAACGTACATTATTTTTTCCATAACTATGAGGTTTTGGAATCATTTCAGGTAATTCCTCCCACCTCCCCCCACTAGTTAATGCTATTTGAACGGGCTCTTTGGCATGGGGAGGAACTTTTAGAGGGAGCTGCACAAATGATTCGGGCCATATCCTCAGCATTTCAGCAATCAATGCATATAACAGAAGAAACCTTTTAACTGAGCTTGGTTCTCCTCTAATTGTTACCATTTGCATTAAAGGATCACCTAGAGATTTGTAGTGCTCTAAAATATAGGATCCTTCTCTCTTGCCAGGTAGCTCAAGGTTATGAAAGTCTTGCAATAAGAGCCTTCGGTTTCCTGATGAGGTTGAGATGTAATTAATAAGGTGGTTGCTGATGGTTTTCGACACCATGCTCAGCATGCTGATATCCTTCACTGAAAAAGCAAAACCCAGTATACTTGTAAATCTTTACTGCAAGAAAAATGATGATCACTAGTCAATAACTTTATCTCACTTCAAAAATAGGCCAAGAAATAAGATTTACAAATAAACCAAAATTTAATTACTGTTTATCTCCTTTGCCAACCGACTGTAGTAATTAGAAATGGATAGATGTAAGGAATATTTTTCACATATAATAGGCAAAAAGCACTTCAAATAGTTTGTAATTATCATTTAAATTTTGGTCATCTGGTTCTTCATACATAAAAGCTGAAAATTCAGAGAATGAGTCACATAAAATGACTTCAACTAGATAAAAGCTACGACATTTTAAATAATAATGGCTTTTTCTAAATGGAAAACTTTTGTGGTAATTTTCAGATATTGGAAGTAATACCTTTCTTATCAGATTCTCACCTGAAAGATAATTCAATACCATTTGAAAGATCTCTAATGGAAGCGTTTGAAAATAGCCAAGTGTTGACAGAGATTGGGAGTCTTTGTCCAAGATGCTGCAGTGCTGTCTGGAGCGACGGTTACTGCGTCTGTATTTTTGGTTAGGAATCAAGGTGTAGCTGGTCCCTGCAGTGGATGTCATTGTTCTGTTAGTCCCATAAATTCAACCTGGAGAGAAAATATGAATGTTCTATTTTCAGAGGAGGAGAATACTATACCCAAAACTAAGCTAAGAGGACATTACTGCATTGTAGTTACAGCGATGGAGTATGAAAATCCTGACATATGCATAGGACAAATTTTTGTTTGAATTTAGTGCAATGGCATGCAATTTATTAAATTATTTTCTAAATCTATGTCTCAGAGAATTGACTATTCAGCTGATCTTAGAGAAAGAGAAGATAAAAGCACTGGGGCACATCAGAAAGTTAGGAAAATAGTTCTAAAAGGAAACTCTTGAGGAAGTATATGCAATGGTACAAGCTACAGTAATTAACAACATTCTTTTACCCTGTTACACTAATTATTCGACAGAATACAAAAAAGTTATAGGGATATAATTGAAATGTCACATTACTTGATTCCTTTGCAGTGATAACTACTTATACACACTCTTGTGTATGACCAAAAAAAAGATTAAAATTGACAAAGCAATGCTGCAAACCACTTTTTCCTGGAGCATTTAAGTAGATACGTGCCTTAATTTCATATAATGGCCATATGTGTGATATACACATAAATGATACAGTATTGCTACCTGAAAAATGCCAGTGACCCAGGCTTTGCCAAAATGATGAGGGTCTGTAAAGTAACAAGTTTTGAAAGATCAGTAAATATGGGGGTTTGATTTGCCTTCTGGTTTCTGCGTCTCTAGAATAGGTACGCTTCACATTGTCAGGCAACAATGAGTTAGTGATTCACTACCTCTTCAATATTTTTTTTAACTGAGATTTTTCACACTATTTCTTGATTCCAGCAGCTGAGGCTTCAGGGAAATTGCCAAAGAGAATGAGTGCTGCAGTATAATTACAAGAGCTGGCAGCACTGGTAGTAACATAACTGGAACTCATCCAAGCTGCAGTGCAACATCCCAGTTACCATCAGTGGAAAATACACTCAGAGAATAGACCTCATTGTTTCCGAGATTAAAAATTTACAAAAATTACAGAAAACAAGTTCCAAACATCCTTCATATTTATTACGAAAGCACGCAAGCCAGACCTCTCTAATATGCCACTGAGCAAAATTACCACATCCACAATGGAAGCACTGTTTGTACTGACAAGTGAAAGAATATGGGGCATTTCATTAACAGCGTTACAAATGGGTTTGGCTGACTTGTGCTTGTGTGCTGGATAGAGTTTGCATTGTACATTTAAGGAAGTTACACTTCACTGGAAGCATTTTTAATTTAGGTATGGTATAATTCTAGCTAGCTAAAGAAGCTTATAGTTTAAACTTTCACAAGGCTCATGAGCAAATATAACTGCTCCTAAAATTACTGTTTCATTAGGTTTTTACGCTGCTTAGGCAAGACACAGAACATTAATGTAACACCTTTAAGAACAATCAAGAAACAACCTATAGTATAAGAAAAAAAAAATGTTAATCTTAAAGAAGCAAAGAAAGCAAAGTCTGAAGTCAGTGGAAATTTTATACACACAACAGTAGATTCAAGACAAAATTCCTGGTGTACAACATACACACCAGCTCCACTCCTGCTTATAAACAGGTCTCCACTAAACTTTGTTCAAGACAGGCTAGATCTGATGCATATTTCTGATTCATACTTTAGAAATAAAGTTGCAATCCTATGATACTTTATTTTCCTCCCCCACACCCCTTATTGTCTTTAGCAGAACAGTACTGTAAGAATTTATGGCATGCTTAACTGTTTTTTTTAAGATCTTACCTTGGGTCTGCAATTGTGTTATATGGAAGAAAAAAATACTTTGCCACAAGGGAGGTTTTCAGAAGTACTCAGCCAATTCCAGTCTGTTTCTGTTCAATCTGATTGAAGTTGAATTGACTACCACTATTTTAATTTAGATGAGAGCTAGATAAAATTAATGTAAATAAAAATGAGTACAAGCAGCAAGTTTCAAAGCCAAAGCTTAGAAACTTAGTGAAAGCTCCCATTTGCTGCTTCTTTGACTTAATGTGTTTTTTATTTCTTGGGGAGTTCAGCCAGAGCAGGGCAACGGTCTGTGCATCTCCATCTGCTGCTGGGATACCACTTGTTTAGAGAACTGCTTAATCCAGACTGGAAATTGAAAGGTAAATGTTAAATATTTAACAAGCTAAACTCATAATATTAGCCAAGAAGGGTCATCTTATTTGTTGCTATAAGCTAATTTGTTTACAAAGCAGAAAGCATCAACTTTCAACCCCCTCTAGAATGTTTCTTGTCCTTAAGCAGTCGCTAAACTCCTGCTAATGGATGCATTTTTGTCCTGATATTTCTTTGAGCCCTGTGTTAGCATTTGGCAAACATTTATTGCAAAAGGTTGTTTACTTTGGAGATTGGTTTGGAACATTTCCGTTTCCCTGCCTCATCACAAAGAGTATAAAATGAATCGCTTCAAATATTAACTCGACAGGGTTTGTTTTTTTTTTTTTTTTCAATTTTCTCTTTTTCCTTTTCAGCACAAATAAAAATATATGAGCTCAAGTGAGGGATGACAAACCTTAGAGCACTGAGTACAGCCATGGAGTTATGTTAGTACTTGTTACTCCCTGGCCTACACTGACAATTCACAAAAAACATATTTTTATTTATGCTAAAGGCTCTACATCAGACTGGTAGTGCAAACCAGTCCCGTAACCATCTAAATTGGTGAATAACTCTGAGTAGAAAGCAAACCTCAGGGAATCCTGATCCCACTGCTGATGGCAACTGGGATTTCTTTGTTCCGAGCGGGGGCTGGTTCAGACTCATCCCTTCAGGGTCCAGACAGAGGGGAAATGCCAGCACTTGTTTTTTTTTTTTCCTCAGCCTTGGGTGGGTTTGCTCCTCAGACTGCAGTATTTGAGGGAGTGGGTTATATCTGGCCTTTTACCTGGGCCTTTGGGTTGGATTTAGCCAGACTATGACAGGCCTTTAGGTCAAATGACTGGCTAGGCCTCGTTTTCTCTGCTCTCTCTGCAGCCCCTCGCCCCCACAGCCTGCCGAAATTGGGGTCAAGGGGCTGGAAACAGGGTCCTGCACCCCCCAAATCTACGTGCAGTTAATAGATAAGGGATCAGGGTTGATGCCTACTTACAGACAAGGCTTTATGAGTTGTGTTTTACCTCAGGGAAATTCCCTCCCTACAAACACCCTCTGGCTGGGTGCCTGCCAAGGCTGCCTCTGAGGGGAGCAGCAGAGGAAGGAGGGGGTGTGGGGTGAGCAGACCCGCTGCCTCTGGTGAGCACCATACCCTGTGTCCCTGAGGGGGAAAAAAAAATTAAAATTATAATTTATTTTTTTTAAAGCATGATTTTAGTCAAATGTCACTACGTACTGGGGTTAGAAAGGGGGTCTGGGCATAGTAATGTAGACAGGTGCACACCGGCAGGCACACCTGTGTGTGTGTGTACTTTAGTCGAGGGCAGAAATGTTTGTAAACATGGAAAATGCCAGTTCCCTTTCAGGGCGGTAATTGTCAAGGGCCCTGATAGCGGTCACATACGTGTTGGAGGGAAGAAATTACCTCACGCAACAGAAGTGTTTTTTTCCAGCAGTGTTTCATCAGTATTATTAATAATTCCGCCCCCTCTCCGTGGGTTTTGTGCTAACTTGTTTGTAATAATTATTTTCCCGCCTTTGCGCCCACCGCCCCTTTCAGCGCAGAGGGGGAAGGGCGGGAGGCGGGAGCCACGCGCGCGGCTTTCCCCGCCCCCTTGTCCCCGCCCTCCTGCTGAATATTTAATCAGCTCCTCGCTCCTCCCCGTTACGCCTCCCCGAGAGGAAAGCGCGTCGCCCCCTGTCACGCGCGCAGCGTTGCTCCACCCTCTCATGAATAATTAACGAGGGCGGCCGTGGGGCCTCCATTTTAGAATGAGAGGCGGGCGGGAGTCACCGGGGGGGGGGGGGGGCCGGTACCCGCCTCCGCCGGGCGAGGTGGGGGATCGGGGGTCCCCGGGGCCCTTTGGCGTCCTCGGGGCAGCTTTGGCATGCCCCGCTGTTTGGGGGGGCGGGGGGGTGGCTGGTGTGGGAGCGTGAGGTGGGGCAGGGTGTGTGTGCGCGCACATGGCATCACAGGAGGGTCTGGGGTGGAAGGGACCTTAAAGCCCCCCCAGTGCCCCCCCCTGCCCCGGGCAGGGCCCCCTTCCCCCAGCCCAGGGGGCTCCCAGCCCCGTCCAACCTGGCCTTGAACCCTTCCAGGGAGGGGGCAGCCACACTGTAAAGAATTTCTTCCTTACATTTAATCTAAATCTCCCCTCTTTCAGTTTAAAACCGTTCCCTCTTGTCCTACCCCCACCCCCTGACCCAGAGTCCCCCCCCCACCTCTCCTGCCCCCCCTTTAAGCCCTGGGAGGCCGCTCGAAGGTCCCCCCGGAGCCTTCTCTTCTCCAGGCTGAACCCCCCCAACTCTCTCAGCCCGGCCCCCCAGGGGAGCTGCTCCAGCCCCCCCAGCATCTCCGTGGCCTCCTCTGGCCCCGCTCGAGCAGCTCCGGGTCCTTCTGCTGTTGGGGGCCCCCGAGCTGGCCCCAGCACTGCAGGGGGGTCTCCCCAGAGCGGAGCAGAGGGGGAGAATCCCCCCCCTGGCCCTGCTGCCCCCCCTGCTCTGGCTGCAGCCCAGGGCACAGGGGGGTTCATGGTTCTGCCCCACGGGCAGTTTTCCCCCCCCCCCAGCCCCTCTCCTCGGGGCTGCTCTCCAGCCACCCCTCGCCCAGCCTGGATTAGTGCTGGGGATCGCCCCGACCCACGGGCACGGACCTTGCCCTTGCCCTTGTTGAACCCCATGAGGTTTGCCCGAGCCCCCCTCTCCAGCCTGCCCAGGGTCCCCCCTGGATGCCAGCCCTGCCCTCCACACCCCGCTGTGGGATACCACACGGACCGTCGCTCCAGGTTGAGGCCATTAGGCCGCCTATGGAGCCGCAGGTCTCCTCCGTAGGTCGCTGCCCTGACCAAATCTCAGCGCACCACCAACCTGCGTTG